AAATATACTCTTGAAAGAAAATCTTTCTGGATCTCAGGCACGTTTGAGCCAACCCATTGCATCTTCGCCAGCGAAGCAGTGTGTGTAGCGGGAGTTGTAATCTCAGCTCAGGGTTGGATATATTATTGGTACCCATTATATATAATTTAATCTCAGGTTTTATCCGGAGTCAAAATAATAAAGCTAAATGGTTCAAGAGTGTGAGGCAAGAATCGCCACTTGTGGCTCTGCTCCAGGAGATGGAGCATTGCCTGATCATGAGAAGTCCAATTGCACTAGAGTCGTCGTTTGTACACCCACTATTGACAATACAAGTTGCATGATACTTTGGTTTCAGGATCCAGGCGAAGATCTGCAGCCTGAGCCGAATATCCCTAAACCCTAAACCCTAAACCCTAATAATCCCTAAACCCAAAACCCTAAAGCCTAAAGCCTAAACTTGAAACCCTAAACCCTAAAATTATAACTAAGGGAAGTTTATAAGCCCCATATATTCTGAGATAACATTATGTACATATATATATATATATCAATAGATTATATTGTAAACCCTGTATATATAATAAATTTCCAGCGAAGGAGCCGATGCGAGACTCGGGTCAATTGCAGGTGGCATTTCAGAAACAGCATTCCATTGTCATAAATATCTTGGCTTTGGGCCGGGGTCCTGAGCAACTGTCTAGGGCAGCGACGGTGCGGACAACATCATCTAGGAACGAATTACAATAATAATTCCAAAATAACTATATTATATTTAGATTCTGAAAATTAAAGGAACAATGCCATGGAAGCTGCAAGAACCGCTTCGCCTTCTCGCTGCTGCTGAACCAGTTGGAGAAGGCAGTCCTCAGCTCCCCGGATGAAACTGTATACTCGTAGCCACAACTATTGCAAAGTAGTACTAATAACATTATTGCTCTTATATTATTATCGAACCTAGATCTGCAAGAACCACATTCCTTTTCAGGGTTTGGGAAATTCAGCAGAGCTGCAGTGCCGTGGCATGCACACGTATGCTCTGACTTGCAGCTGCTTGTTGAGCAACTTCTTGCAATTTGCTCGTCAGCCACAACATGACGATACGGGCATTATAAGCTTTCGTTGTCAAGTAGTGGCCATGCACTGCCTTCCGTAAATGCCGTGGTGCAAAAGGCCGCTGGGAGCAAGCAATTTTGTTGGCCCGGCGCCATGCCTGAAACTCACCAAATGCTGCTTCGAGCAGTGGCTTCAGATCGTCAGGGTCATTGTATGGACCGAAGTGGCCCTCCCGCAACAAAGCTTCCCTTGGAAGTTGTAGTATTTTTTATAACTTATTAGTTGTAGAATATTATATTATATTATTATTCTAGGAACCCTGCGGGTTCTAGTGATTGCACTATAAAATTATATTATATCAGAAGACTTCTAGACTCTACCCCGGTATAGGAAGATCGAGAAAACAGCATGTGAACATTTATCTGCAACTTGGGCACAGTGCACCGCCACTTGCTGTGTGCACCAATCCCAGATTGCAGACGTGCATGCTGCAGAATTTCACCATGGAAACATCGAAGCCCGTCAGCATTGTCAGAGGGCCTTTAAGAATAGTGCGGTTTGGGCTTGAAGGAATAAAGTTTACGTAAAGCTTCAAAGCTGCAACCTATATTTGCCAAGGTACTCACTTGTCCAGGCCGAAGGGCCCTCCCAAGAAATGTTGCAGTGTCCAATTGTGCATGCCGCCAAGGTGCTCCATCACTATGATCATAATAGCGAAGTGGGCCATCAGACATTTCGGCATCACACAAAAAGCAGCACTTCTTAGACACAGGGGTTCGCAGCAGTCGCAAAGTTCGCTCATGCCACTTCCAGTCACCCTTTAGCTCGGCACACACCCAGCGAGTGCCGCCCGAAAACTTTTGGCCTGCCTTCTGGGCTTTCAACCCAGATAAAGCAGAGCCAGTTCTCGACACCGTTGGATACGAACCCAGGCAGGCCTGATTGCAGCTCCAGACAATATGCTCCAAGATCGGAGCCAGTGTCTGAAGATTCTCATGGATCGTGCAAGAATCCTGTAGTGCACATAACAACCAAATCCCCTGCCGAGATTGCTTGGGTTTGAAGAGGGTGAGTTGTAGGAATATTCCGGTGACCTTATCCCGGCTGTCCTTGGCCAATGTCAGCTCGTCGCCGTAGATGCTGAATGGTACCATGCAATCCAGATCATCCTTTCTAGCAGGAAAGTTCTTAGCAAACGGGTACTCATTCTGACGTAGTCGGGACCAGAAATCCCTCACCTGGTCCATTGGACAGACCAGCTGAACCTCCGTCTGAAGGAAATCGAGGAGTTCGTGTACATCGATCACTGGTATTGAAGTCTGCACTACTTTACGATCACCCTCATATCCTTCGTAGATTGTAGTTTGCACTTCTGTAGGAACCTTGAGCAGATTGCTGGGCTCTGTCAAATTGAGGAATCTACGTGAACATAGGGGGGTATCTCGAGTTGTATTTTGCAATGAGAAGCCATAAACCTCCTATGAATTCGAATTGAGAAAACAAAGCCCCCATAAGACACCGAAATTACAATAACATATCCTGTCCCAGCTGCGAGAGGCACTTCCACATTCTTGAAGAAAGCCCGTGCATCATTTCGCATGCCAGCTCCATATGTCATCAATTTCGACATAATCTTGCCCTTGAAGTGCCGGCCAGATTCCTGCATGTAGATTTCGATCATGACATTCTACATTGCTGAAACTGAATTCTCACGTAAAACCTGAAACCCTCCTCATAGCTCGCCCGGGCATTGTGCATAGCAGACCCGACAGTCTCGGCCTCAGGATGGTTGCATTCGAGAGATGCCGATGCTGCTACAGAGCAGTGAGGCTGCAGTATTTCTGGGTTTTCAGGGTTTAGGGTGAAGGCTTCTCGTTTTAAACAGGACACAAATCTAAATTTCAGACAAGAGTCCCCATTGGATACCCTTTCCAGAATATTCTGCAATAGGCCCTTGGCGGTATCGCCATCATCGTGGTCCTCCGAGCCTGGCATGTGTCGAACTAGGCAATCGCATCATGCTAGCAAGATGCCCAAAGCT